TATAATTTAGTAAAATGGCTGCTTTTACAAACTGCACATAGGGGATAGCAAGGCAGTTGCCAATCTAATTTTAAGAGTGGCAACTGATTCATAACAAGATAGTTATTAGCACTGGCATTTCAGTGGCCTGAAAACTGTCTTTACTCTCCCTTCTACTGCTTGTCTCGCTTTCTTTGGGAAAAGATAACATCTTGGCAGCTATGAAACATTAGGAAACATGAAAAAAAATTACCTGCTTTCACTAAAATTTTTTGGAATTCTGTAAGTTTTACGGGAAGTGATGTTACCCATACAAATACTTGATGAACACATATCTCAAATATTTCTGTGAGTGTCCAGATTTGTAAAAAAAAAAAAAATATCCAAGACTGATCTCGGGTATGCTTTTCCAACCCGTGTCTACAAAAAGCCTTGGAAAAATCTCTTTTGCTCTCCTGCTGTCTTACTGCACTGTAACCTGAAATAAAGCTTGCCTTCCTCTGCGGAACTCATGGCACTAACTGGTGATAAGACTTTAAAACTTCCATCATTATAGTCAGTTAAATACTAGTACAAATCAGGCACAGCTCATTTTAATAAACAGAGCTGGTTGAGAGAAGCAATGCAATGCATGTTGCCAACATTGTTAAAATACAAATTTAATCATTCGTAATTAAGTAATTCTGGTTTTTTTTATAAGAATTTCTGTATGCTATGGATTTTCTCTTGGCAGAAATACCTTCCCTCTGCAAAGCTGAAATGCGAATGAAAAAAAAAATGCTTCTAGAAAAACATTTAGAAAAAAAGTCTTAAAAACAGATCTTTTATTTGGTGAGTCTCAGTAGAAAGAGAGGATTCTTTTGGAGAAAAGAGTACAACTTTGGGAATAGTTTGATCAACCTTCTCTGCACTGCACAAAACCTCCTGCAATCATTTTCCTACCAAATAAGTAGAGAGAGTTCAAAAATACAGGCTGTGACAAGATCTAGTTAAAATCTCAGCTACGGAGTAAGGCATTATATGCACAACTGTTGCCACCTAGTGGCTATGAGAAAGCAGGGATGCAAGTAAACTCAGTGTTACAACCTTGCAGATTCAAGTAAGAGGAGCTCGGAGAAAAGTTCATCCTTGAAGAGCCTTATAAAATGTTGAACAATTGTCATGCAGGACATCCTGCAGTTATGTGGACTGTGTTGGACATTAGGCTTCATCTCCAAGTTCAGGAAATATTGGGAAAAATATACTTATCTTTTAACCCAGGAAAGGAGATTTAAATTCTATTAATGCAACTGGAAACAAAAAGAAAAAAAAAAAAACAACAGCAAACTCCTTCACTATTATTAGTCCAGTCCAACTGTGTCTACTTAATCTTCAGGTAAGATACAAAAATAAATATTTCTATAAATATATCAACAGTAAGAGGAGGGCTGGGGAGAATCTCCATCACTTGTTGGACGCTGAGAGCAACTTGGCGAACAAGGATCAGAATAAGGCTGAGGTACTTAATGCCTTCTTTGCCTGTCTTTAATAGTAAGACCTGTTACTCTCTGGAAACACAGCCCGTTGCTCTGATAGATAGGAATGGGGAACAGAATAGGCCATGCATGATTCATGATGAGATAGTTTTGGACCTGCTCTGAAATCTGGATGCTCACAGGTCCATGAGGCTGGATGGATCGTACTCTAGAGTGCTGAGGGAGTTGGTGGATGTGGTTGCCAAGCCATGCTCCGTCATTCTTAAGCAGTCCTGGCTAACTGGGGATGTCCTGGCAGACTGGAGACTAGCAAATGTGACAGCCATCTTCAAAAAGGGCTGGAAAGATGATCCTGGGAGCTAGACCTATCAGTCTCACCTTGGTGCTATAGAAGGATATAGAACAGATAGGTAACCCTGGGAGCCATCATGGACAAATTAAAGGTCAGCCAGGGGATCAGGACCAGTCAACACGGCTTTAAAATCACAGAATCACAGAACTGTAGGGGTTGGAAGGGACCTCCAGAGATCATCGAGTCCAACCCCCTGCAAAAGCAGGTTCCCTAAAGCAGGTCGGACAGGCAGGCATCCAGGCAGGTCTGGAACATCTCCAGAGAAGGAGACTCCACCACCTCCCTAAGCCGTTTCCCCTTGTCCTGTCTCCACTCACCACTGAAAAGAGTCCAGCCTCGCCATTCTGCCCCCCACACCTCAGATATTTATAGACCTGGATCAGGTCCCCCCTCAGTCTTCTTTTCTCAAGGCTGAACAGACCCAGTTCACTCAGCCTTTCTTCATAGCAGAGATGCTCCAGGCCCTTCACCATCTTTGTGGCCCTCCGCTGGACTCTTTCCAAGAGATCCCTGTCTTTTTTGTACTGGGGAGCCCAGAACTGGATGCAGTTCTCCAGATGACAGAACTCCAATTGGTAGATCCTGTCTGACAAACCTCATTTCATTCTATGACAAGGTAACCCACTTAGTGGATGAGGGTAAGGCTGTCGATGTGGTCTACCAGGATTTCAGTAAACCCTTTGACACTGTCCACCACAACATCCTTGAGCAGAAGCTGCCTGCCCACTGTTTGGATGGCATACGCTCCACTGGGTGAAAGAACAGCTGGATGGCCGGGCCCAAAGAGTTGTGGTCAATGGAGTTAAATACAGTTTTACACCAGAGCAGCATCCTGCAGGGCTCGGTGTGGGCCACTCCTATTTAACATCTTCATTAAGAAGCTTGATCAGGGGACTGAGTGCACCCTCAGAGTCTGCAGACGACACCAAGTTGGGAGGGAGTGTTGATCTGCCTGAGGGGAGAAGGGCACTGCAGAGGGACCTGGATAGACTGGTTTGATGGGCCAATGTAAACAGTATGAGTTTCAATAGCGCCAAGAATTGAGTCCTGCATTTTGTTCACAACAATCCCAGGCAACCCTGCAGATGAGTCTGTAGGAGAGGAGTGGCTGGAAAGCTGCCTGACAGAAAGGGACCTTGGGGTACTGGTGGGCAGTCGGCTGAACATGAGCCAGCAGTGTGCCCAGGTGGCCAAGAAGGCCAGTGGCATCCTGGCTTGTATGAGGAGTGGTGGTGAGCAGGACTAGGGAAGTCATCCTGCCCCTGTACTTGGCACTGGAGAGGCGTCACCTCAAGGGCTGTGTTCAGTTTTGGGCACCTCAGTACAGAAAGGACATGGAGGTGCTGGAGCAGGTCCAAAAAAGGGCAACAAGGCTGGTGAAGGGCTTGGAGAATGTGCCCTATGAGGAAAGACTGAAGGAACTGGGGCTGTTTAGACTGGGGAAGAGAAGGCTGAGGGGAGACCTTATTGCTCTCTTCCAATATCTGAATGCTTACAGTGAGAGTGAGGTTAGTGTCTTCTCACTGGTGACAGGTGACAGGAGGGGGGGAAACAGCCTCAAGTTGTGCCACGGGAGATTTAGGTTGGATATCAGGAAACACTTCTTTACAGAAAGGGTTGTTAAGCACTGGAATAGGCTCCCCAGGGAGGTGGTTGAGTCACCATCCCTGGACGTGTTTAAAAGCTGTTTGGATGTGGTGCTCAGGGACATGATTTAGCAGAGGATTGTTAGAGGTAGGGTAGCACGGTTATGTGCTGGTTGGACTTGATGATCTTTAAGGTCTTTTCCAACCTAAGCAATTCTATGATTCTATGATTCATAATTTACTTCCACAACTTACCTAGTTTTTCATTAGGAAGAAAAAAGCTGAAGTCTTGTTTTGATAACTTTGAAACAAAGTGTTGGCTGAAGCATTTCAAAGTTTGGTTTTACAAGGATAGTTCAAATTTGGAACAAAACGAAATGGATTTTGAGGATAAGACCACCTGGAAATGAGAACAACAACATGCTCTGCAGGGTCAGCCATCTCCACTCTACAGAAAAAGGAGTGAACTCCCGGATCTGAGCTGGCTCACAGCCAGGGTGCTTCTGATTTTCCAGCCCAGTTATTCCAACACCTGAACAACAGCTAAACGAAATCAGGAATCAGTTCACATGAAGCTGAAAAACCATACATTTCTGCCTGACCACAGTTATTGGCTACTGTGCATGTTTTAGATACTAACACAGGTAAATTACAAATAAGTGACACCAGTCAGGATGGGATATTACTAGACCTAGCACAACATTTTAGAAAAAAACTGTGCATAGCGTGATATTAAAGGGGAAGTTATTTTAGGTAGTGGAAACAAGTGCAGCTTCTGTGATCATGTGTATTCATCAGGCATAGTCAGAGTCAGATGGCAGATTATTCTCCCAGCTCCATCCTCAACTATGTTCCAAAGGTGGAAGAGGTACAACCATCCCTTCCCAGCACATGAGAAATAACTAGAAAACGGTTACTCTCACATGGTCATGGGACTGATAAATGTACATACGCTCAAAAAAGAGACTTAAATGTCACCTCTGTCCACCAAACTCCCATGAGCGTTCATGAACGGACAGCCTGGTAGAGTGAAGTCAGCTATTGGGGTGATGAGTTAGCACATGGACTACAGTCTTCTTGAACAGATACTGGGACATACTCCAAGGAAAAGATTGGGTGTGTAGCCAAAGAGAAAGCGGGGATTATGAGAAATGGAAGTGATTAGCTGAAAAGCGGAATGGATAATTGGAATGGATTGGTGGCTCATACGTAATTTCCAGCTTCAGGCTTTCACCTCTAAAGCCCATAAGTAAAAAGAGCCTAATCTTGCCCAAAAGTGTGTTGGAGAATGATTTCAATCCTGAGTCAGACAATGTCTAGTTTCCACTGAGTCACTAATACTTCTCCTTCTTAGAGGAGTTGTTCTGAACATCTCCAAGCTAGTGATATTTCCCTAACAGATCAGGTGCATATGGCAGCCTAAAAGCAGAGTAATAACTGATTAAAAAAAGACCAAAACCAAAACAAACAAACAAGAACCAACAACTTGCATCAAACTTGCTAACAGGTGGCATCACAAACACAAGATAGCCATTGCATTAGACATTCTCCATGGACTGCTGTATGTTCAGACTAAACTCACTGCAGAATTATCACAAAAATACTCACTTGCTCCCATGAAATAATTGCATGGCGATCAGCTGGCTTCTTTTCCACTAATGTCACATCAGAAACACCTGGTGAAGTCTCTAAACGGAAAAGAGGAGCATGTTTACTGCTGGCATGGGTGAGACCAAGCATTGTTAGGCATATAATTTTGCAAATTAACCTGAATGACAACTCAGAAAATGGCATTAATAACTGGAGACATCGTGCTTGTGACTGAGCAGTCACTTTCTCTTTCCTGTAATGTGTGTCTTGACACAAGAATGCCTAGTGCTGCACAAGATGCCACCCCTCGATGGCTGAGATACACATAATACCTTATGCACACACATTACCTGTGCGACCTGCTGTAGGGAACCTGCTTTGGCAGGGGGGTTGGACTCGATGATCTCTGGAGGTCCCTTCCAACCCCTACCATTCTGTGATTCTGTGATTACATATACATATATGCATTAAGAAATAAAACAAGTGTGCATCTGCACAAGCGCATGTACACAAGGACATTCTGCCTTCAGAGTCTGGTCATTTGCAGATACTTTATTGAAAAATCAACCATGGCAACTGGGCAAACTCAAAGTAAAGAAGAATTGCTGTTTGTAAGCATGCCCTGTGGTTTCAGTTGGGAATGATACTTGACATAAGATGTCATGCAGTGTTACCATGAATTTTTAACAACCATAATCCAGAAAGACAGGCGCATTTCCGTTCTGAGTTTAGGGATCAGAATCTGGTCCTGCTGAAAGGACCTGTATGGGCAAACATCAGTTCTCTGCAATCCCAGCTGGACACATGCACATCTATTATAAGCATTGAGCTCATCATTTATAAAAATCATCTCAATATTTTATGAAAAAGAATGCTACATAAATGCAAGATACTAATCTAGATTGTGCTATCCTTGCAGGTGTATGACAGAACAGTCTCCCTTGCACTTATTATTTTATAATGTTTTACTTCATCTACAGCCAACCAAAATAATTCCCACTGACTTCATTCACTTTGGAACTAATCCAAAAATACTACTTACTTCTTGTTGTGGGAATTGCAAGCCCAGCACACAGGGCTGTAGAGTAGAAATGATCACTATGCAGAGCTTTCAAGACTGGCTCTGCTGTGAAAGCATTGGCTACCAGAGCAGTCACACATACTGTAATTGCTTTCTGATAAAATATACAAAGTGCAGTAGACAGGAAAGACAGGTACCAGAAAGCTTTAGTTTGGTTTTTATCTCTAGAGCTAGGCTTTTAATTCTTACAGTGGTGTTGCCCTTGTCTGCTCTGCTAGCAGAAGAGTAACACTCAGATTAAGGAAGCCTGAACTGTGTTTTAATTTCCTTTTTCTTTTTAAATGGGATAGAGAACTTAAAAGACAAAATATAGCATCAGAAAACCAAACTCCAAGTAAAAATAAAAGTAGTACGTCACCTAAGTAATCCTTCTAGCCAATGCCCCAAGATACAAAGACTCTCTGATGCTCTGCCAAGTTTTACTTCAATCATTGGGTGCCTGCTTGGGGGATCTGCCTCTTGCTCAAAAGCCTTTTGTACATATTCTCTGTCTAAAGAAGTGTGGGGAATCGATGATCTAACCGGTCTTTTCCTTCTAAGCTACGCAAGTCTTAAAACATGCTAAGAGATTATAATAACAGAGTAATTGTTATTTCTATGATCAAAGAAAACAGCAGGGATATTTAATTCATCACACACAAAGGCTCAGCTGGGATGATGGAAAACTTAATATCCTATCAGTCATAGGAAGATGTCTAAGAATAAGTAAACTGCAACTTCTAAAGAGGTCTAAACCAAATCCAAGATCAAAAGAAAAAGAAACTCCATCTTAAAATCCTGAATGTTATGTTAAAAATACCCTGTGGGTGAACTGAATACCACATTTAACAGATCTGTTTAAGTATAGATGGGAGCTCCACTAAATATTAAGGAGGAAAAAAAAGATAAGTCTGCCATGGGTAGCTTTTTCTTCCAGATAGAAAAAAAAAAATCAGAAGGCCAATTAGATTAGAGAAAAGATACAGGATAAAGCTTAACTAGTTGAGAGCACTCTTCCCAATTAACTCCTCTGAATGCAGATCACAGTAAAATGAGTCCTGTTTTCTGGAAATTCCATGTGGAAGCTTCCAAAAATGGTTTGCAGTATTAATCTGAAAGAATGACCATAATAATGGTCATTGGACAGAGCCGCAGCAGGAAATCACGGTACTGTCAGTCTTTAAACTACTGCTAATACTTTCTGGAAGTTGGATAAACATTCAGGATCTTTGTGGAACTGTCCACGTTGTTACATTTTAGTGAATAAAGAGGTAAAGGCTGAAGCATAGCCGAGCTCTGGACAGTCCCAAACAGTTAATACCAGCTACTCAGATTTAGTGGGCAAATTCCAGAAAGGCTGATTGCCATTAGTTACAGAAGTTCAGCAAACTGAGTCGTACTGGAGAGGGAACAAGATGCTTCTCCCCCTGAAACTATAGCCTCCATAATTCTCCTGACAAACGTCAAACTTTCCAGAGACTTCCACAAAGAACAGGAGTTTGACAAACAAACAAGCAAAAACTCCCTATGTAGAATTTATCTACAGAATTTGGTTTCTGAAATGGTACCATGAGCATCTTCATAAAGGTATTAGAAAATTGGGCCTCAAGCTCCCAATTAGTAGACATCCAAAATTTTGTCATTTGAAAGGCATGTGTTGAGTTTCATTACACAATCATGCTTATTTTCTAAAAAAATATTTAAAAAACTGAAGAGTTTTTAAAAGTGACCACTGTTTTTATGTCATACCAGGCAGAAAGGCATCCATGAGATTCATGTGACACATTAGATTTAAAATAAGGTAACTTCTAGGTCTGTAGCCTACTAAGACATATTTCTTAATCAGATAGCTTTCGTTCTTTGAAAAAAACAAACTCTGAAAAGATACGTAATGGTTTCCCCAAATTTTCAGTTCAGCTAATCTGAATTAGAATCATAGAATCACCAAGGTTGGAGAAGACCTAAAAGATCATCCAGTCCAACCGTTCACCTATTCCCAATAGCTCCTACTAAACCATGTCCCTCAACACAACATCCAGCCTTTCCTTGAACACCCCCAGGCTCGGTGACTCCTCCACCTCCCTGGGCATCCATTCCAGTGCTGACCACCCTTTCTGAAAAGTAATACTTCCTCATGTCCAGCCTGAATCTCCCCTGCCGTAGCTTGAAACCATTCCCTCTGGCCCTATCACTAATGACACGAGAGAAGAGGCCGACCCCCAGCTCACTACAACCTCCCTTCAGGAAGTTATGGAGAGCAGTGAGGTCTCCCCTGAGCCTCCTCTTCTCCAGGCTGAACATTCCCAGCTCCTTCAGCCTCTCCTCATATGGCCTGTGTTCCAGACCCCTCACCAGCTTTGTTGCCCTCCTTTGAACACGTTCCAGGGCCTCAATGTCTTTCTTGCAGTGAGGGGCCCAAAACTGGACACAGTACTCGAGGTGCGGCCTCACCAGTGCTGAATATAGGGGAACAATCACCTCTCTGCTCCTGCTTGCAACACTGTTTCTGATGCAAGCCAGGATGCCATTGGCCTTCTTGGCCACCTGGGCACACTGTCGGCTCATATTCAGCCGAGCATCAATCAATACCCCCAGGTCCATTTCCTCTACGCAGTCTTCCAGCCACACCGTCCCAAGCCTGTAGCGTCGCCTGGGGTTGTTGTGGCCGAAGTGCAGGACCCGGCATTTGGCCTGTTGAAACTCATCCCATCGGCTTCAGCCCAGCTCTCCAGCCTTTCCAGATCCCTCTGTATGGCCTCGCTACCCTCAGGCAGATCCACACTTCCAGCCAATTTGGTGTCATCTGCAAATTTACTGAGGGTGCACTCGATGCACTCATCCAGGTCATCAATAAAGATATTGAAGAGGACAGGCCCCAGCACCGACCCCTGGGGAACACCCCTCACGACCGGTCGCCAGCTGGATTTAACTCCATTCACCACTCCATTCACCACACCATTCACCAATTAGTATGGTGATGTAGATCTCATGCATCACACTACTTCACTCGGCACAAAATGTGTGAAGTTTCCAGAAGAAATGGACAGACTATTAAAACAAAACAAAACAAAAAATAGAAAAAAGAAAATATTCCAGCAACAGACTAGGGTTTGCACTGCCATCTTGTACAATACACAATGTAGGAAAGGCTAGTAATTTTATGAAAAGATCTGCTAACGGATGCATTTTCCATGATGTTGATCGTCAGTTGTTCTACCTTTTAATGCTCTTGGAGTAAAGTGATGGGGAAATTATGAACTCATACTTGGAAAACAACAACAACAAAAAAAACCCAAACAACAAAAGAAAACAGATCTTGAAAATCATAGAATGGCTTAAGTTGGAAAAGACCTTAAAGACTAACCAGTTCCAAACTTTCTGCTGTGGGCACAGTTGCCCTCCACCAGCTCAGGCTGCCCGGGCCTCCATCCATCCCCACCTTGAGCACCTCCAGGGATGGAGCACCCACATCTTCCCTGGGCAGGTTGTGTGAGGATCTCACCACTCTCTGAGTAATGATTTCTCCCTGATATCTAACATAAATCTCCTTTCTTTTAGCTTAAAGCCATTCATTATCCTATCACTAAGACATTGGGCAAAAAGTTGTTCCCCCTCCTGTTTATATGACCCCTTCAAGCACTGGAAGACCGTGATGAGGTCTCCTTGGAGACTTCTCCAGACTTAACAAGCCAAGCTCCCTCCCTCCCTCCCTTTGCAGAAGAGGTGCTTCAGTTCTCTGATCATCTTCACTGCCTTCTCTGGACCCATTCCAACAGCTCCACATTCTTCTTGTGCTTGGGGCCCTGGGCCTGGACACAGTATTCCAGATGAGGCCTCATGAGAGGAGAGTAGAGGGGGACAGTTACTTCTCCTTCCCTGTTTCCAGCCCTCTTTTTATGCACTCCAAGCACTGTTGGTAAGAAGCCCAATCAGAAGTTTTCAGAAAAAAAAAAACAACACTGCACAGAATGTGGGCTCAAAACAGTATCCTCACTGATGCCTGTGACAGGAATTTTGCCCTGATCTTTTAATCTCATTTGTCTAAGAGGCAACCCAAGAACTTTTGTGATTAGTGATAAACTTCAGGTACCTGATCACAGAAAGGCATAGGTTGGAAGGGACCTTAAGTTCACGCAGTTCCAACCCCAAGCTATGGGCTGTTGCTCCCAACCAGATCAGGCAGCCCAGAAACCCATCATCCCAGCCATGAGTGCTTCCAGTGCTTCCAGGAACTGTGGAAGGGCCTCAGCACCCTTTGAGTAAATTATTTCTTCCTGACATCTAACCTACATCTCCCCTCCCTTAGTTTAAATCCATTCCCTCTTGCCCTATTGAACAGATTGTTCAAGAATTCGAACCCCTTCCTGTTTGTAAGATCCCCTTAAGTACTGGAAGGCAGCAGTGAGGCCTTTCTCTCTGTCCTGCAGTGAAGAAGATGGATTAAATAATGACACCAGCAACTGTGGGCTTTAAAATCCCTAAGAAAACACTCCGCAAATTGCTGCTTGTAACGCTCCCGTATGCAAGGCTTGGGACAGATGCCTGTTTTTCCAACCACAGCTCCACGCCAGACAGAAGGCCGGAGGAGCCCGAATTCACCACGCTGATCGCTGGAGCCTCCACCAGCCACGAGCCCAGAGCCCACCTGAGGGCTGACGAGAAGCTGAAGTGTGCTCTTCATTGCAGCCCGACTTTCCCACTGCCCACCACCCACCACTGAAGATCCTCTTCCCGGCGCCCACCCGGCCACGCCCCGCACCCGCCGAGCCCTCACCCAAAATACGCGTCACCCCCAGGGTGAGCTTGTCCAGGTGGGGCCTGATGCCGGCGGAGGGCTTCTCCTCCATCTCGGCAGGGCGCTACCCAGCGCCCCTCACACCGACGAGACCGATGCGCGTGTGGGTGTGTGAGTGGGGAAACGCGCGCGTTTGTCCTTCTCCCAGCCCGTAGCAACGCTAGGCCGCGGGGTGCGCTGGGAGCTGTAGTCCTTCCCGCGCGGTCGGCCCGCAGCGGCAGCGGTAATTAACGCCCGCTGGACTACCACTCCCACAATGCCCCGCTCTTCCGCCCGGCTGCAGGGAGAAGGCGGCGCGGGCAGCCAATAGGCGCCAAGCACAGGGGGGGTGGCGGGGGGCACTCTGGGAGTGGCGGTTGTTTCAAGATGGCGGAGGTGGCCCCCGAGCCGGGTGGGGATGTGTATTGGAGCCGGGACAGTATCCTTTCATGGCCTGGAGGCGGGCGCTGGCGCCAGGGGGCTGTGTGAAGAGGAGGGAGAGGGGCGGGAGGGAGGGCAAGAGGCAGCCGTGGGAGGGGGGAGGCAGCGGAGTGGGGAAACTGAGGCAGGGGTTGCAGCCTCGGATGGGGGAGGGGGTCCGAGGGACTGCGATCCTCTCAAAGGAGGTACGGGGGATCGCGGTGTGTGGGGAGGGATCCGCAGCCCGTCCTGCGGGCTGGGACCACTGGGTCCGTCGGCACCTTAGGGGGTAGCAAGGAGGGAATGAGGGGACATGGAGGTGTGGAAGGGAATTCGGCAAGGAGACGCTGAGCTGAAGGTTCAGGCGGCACGAAAAAGGTGTGGAAAGTACGTCTTTTGTGACTGGAGTGGGGGCTAGGCTATTAGGGTGAGCCTGTGGGCACCCGGGAGCTTCGTGTGTGAGAGGTGAGCGCCAGGCACCGAGGTCGGTCTGCAGGAGGTGTGCAACTGCAGTGCTGGGCGTGCAGGTGGAGCACACAGCCGTTTTGCTGTTGGGGTGCAGCACGAGAAAGGCTGGCTAGCGAGGTAGGCTTACGTGGCTCAGACATGCTGAAGAGCTGGCATTGGTGTTTCGACTCATAAAGCTGAGTGAGAGGCTTGGCTGACTTAGAAGACCTGTAGGTTGAAGGTGTGGAGAACTAATGCGACATGACAGGAGGTCTGGCCTGCATTCAGAGCCAGGCTGGATGTGGCTCTGGGCAGCCTGGTCTGGTGGTTGGTGATCCTTCACATAGCAGGGGGATTGAAACTAGATGATCATTGTGGTCCTTTTCAACCCATGCCATTCCATGGTTCTGTGATATGATTCTATGAAATTTATGTGCTGATATTTAGCTGTAGGTCAGAGGGACTTGAGGCATTGCAGTTGCTGGCGCTGAGGTTGAGATTTCAGCCTCAGCCAAAAGTGATTCAAAAGAAAGGTATGCGTGAGTGCTCTTGTATTTATGTTTGATTGCCCACACACTCCAAAACAATGCATGAGTGGAATGGGCCAGCCATCCAAAGGGCTGTGTAGGGAGCACTTTGTTATAAATCTTGGAAAATTTCTAATTTGTGCTTAAAAAAATTTATATAGGGCAACTTTCTCTTTCATATCAGATCTGTTGCTGCAGTGTCACTACCCGGTTTAGCTGTGAAAAAGTTGACACAGTTACAATTGCTGTATTTGTGTATTTTTAAAAACAATAGCATTGCTCTCATGCATCAAGATATTCCAAGAAATCTTCTGTTATATGTGTTTTTGCAAGTGAATAGTGTTGCTTCCAGTTTTAGAAAAGGTTAAGTACACTGAAATAGGTCAATCCCAAGAATAAATAGTATAGTAGATGCTTTTAAAGAAGAAGGGTTTGGGTCTTGGGAGATTTGGTAATATTGACTTACTAACCAAGGAAAATTGAACTTTTCTCTGTAATTGCCAAATGGATGCTGCATAGCAAAACAGACTCCAATATACTGCACTGCTGTGCGTCTCTAGTTTGCTGTAGGGCAACTACTGTTGCCTTGAACATTAGCTATAATGCCAGCAGGGTTATAACATTCACAGTCAACCCATTTGGAATCTTGAGAGCATATGGCAGTGAATTAATTTCAAATGGCTGATGCTCATAATGTCCCCAGTCTTTCACTCTGAGACAGGGATCGTGGGCCTGTTTATGGCAGTTTTCAGTCCCACTAATTAAGGAAAACTGGTCTGACTTCAGCTTAATCTAATATACTAGGTAGCAAACCTTTGTGGGAGAATGGTTCTGATAGCTTGGGGGAGAAACAGCATCAGCTTCTAATTTTTTTCATCCCTCTATTAGGTATTTATCTACAACAGTGCCAATATGGGTGGCAAACTTAAAAAGCCCAGTTTCTGTAGGCTAATCTGTTTTTTTTTTTTACAGACATGTGTTGTTGACACAGATTAACCATATGTCAGCTGAGAAATAAATTGCCAGTGCTGAAGTTTGTTGTTTGTAGTAGCAGTATGAGTTGAAGATCTCGTTGGTATCCTGCAGACTGCTGTCATAGCTTTGCTGACACAGCTGTTTGGACGTGGCTGTTACCCAGTCTTGATCTGCATTAGTGATTTTTGGAAAGAGGAAACGTGGTGCTTTACTTTTAGAGTTGATTCAGCTTTTTCACCTGGTTCATGGCATGACCCCACTTTGTGCTCTGACAGAGAGAGCAGGCTGCAGCTTATGGGTGAGAACAGAAGTGCTTTCAGTGCTTGTAGAGAAACTATTGGCACCAGTATGAGATGAAGTTGGTCTCAAACTGGCCTAAGATGATGAGAGATAATTATTCATAAGTGATAATTTGGATCAAAAAGATTACAGTGAAGTATGTGACCAAGCCTTTCCAGTGTGCCAACTATCCACTGTGTAATGGACAGTGAGGACTAATTGAATCTGAAATTCCTACCCAGAAATGAAAGCTTCTGTTTTCTAATGGAGTTTTCTATGTCACATGACAGCTTAATAAGTTTTTAAGTGATAGTTGGTATAGGTTAGCTGAAGTATTTTCACAATTTGATTTGATTGTGCAAAGACAACTGTACAAAACCTAAACTTACCAGTAAACAATACAGAAACTAAGAAATTGAGTTAACTGACCAAACTTTTACGGCTGAGGAAAGAAAAACAGTAAAAAACAAAACGTTAGTGGAGGAGAACTATGTAGCCTCAGCTTTTGTTTTTCACTTCATTGTAATGTTTGTAATTTATGTAGGAATAAAAACCTGGACTTTCAGGTAAATGCAGCTGTTGTTTTAAGGAAAGTTCTGTAGTTTACACCCTTCCCTGAATTGTGTTGAGTTGTATTTGTAGTGGTTTCTAGGAGGCAAGGTTGCAGGTTCAGAGATTGCTAACATAATCCAAATATATGGTGACAGATCCTGTGTGAGTTTTTGAGTGTTTTTTTGCAGTCAAGTAATTTAATAGTTAACACTCTAAATTTAGATGGCTTACTTTTAGAAATGGTTTCAGAGCAACTCTTCATCTTGTTAAAGAGAACAGGTCCTCAGGCTTTCAGCTGGTATTTGCCATGTGATGGTCAGATGAGAATCATCAACTTCCCTGGAAAGTTTCTGTAGTTTATCCTCATTTACGTTTCTCAGAACATGCTGTACAAAATACAGAATTGCATTGCTGCACAAACATGGATTATTCTGGAAGTTTGTCTTCCCTACATATCAAGGGATTAGTTATATGATGAAAACCTGCTCTGATTTAAATGTATTATCACTTCATTGTCTTAGTAATGGCTCCCATAACTGGGACTGCTCCCTGGGATGTTTCTTGAAGGTGACCTGAGAGATAAACTTTACTATCTAAAGTAAAGACACAGTGAAGGAGAAGTAGCGTTTTTTCTTTTAGCAATCAGTGTGTGTTCTTCTTTATTTTTTCCTTCCTAATTGAGTTTTTCTTCCTTCTGATGCTCTCAAAGTTTCCCAGATTTGCTTTCTTACAAACCACCTTTTAAAATTAAAGGCAAAATGCTTGTTATAGTTGGTTATCTTTTGTATTTATTACCTTTGACAAAGCTACACGCAGTATCTGATGAAGAACAGCCAATGGTATATGTTTCAGGTATGACCTTATAGTAGCTGTAAACAAAGTTTTTTTTTCCTGTGAATGCTGAACTTTGCAGTGTTTTTCCAGGTACGTGGTTTGTGTACGTAGGTGTGTAAGGCACAGAGTCATCACAAGTAATTTAACTTGTAATGAGACATACAGGATTATAGCAGAGATGCTCTTCTGCTTAGATAAGCACATGGTATAAAATAAACAGCTTCAGGGCAGTTTTTTCTATTGCAAGTACATCATAGAGTTTTCATTCTATAAGGTAGGCTGAATTTTAAATGTAGTCTCCAAGGGATGTTGAAGATTCTCAGATCTTTTAAATTTTGAATAGAATTGTAGAATCACAGAGTGATTTGCACTGGAAGGGAACTTTAGCTCCAAACTCCTGCAGCGGCACCTCCTGCTAGACCAGGCTGCTCAAAGCCTCATCCAGCCTGGCCTTGAATGCTTCCAGGAATGGGCCATCCATAACCTTTCTGGGCAACCTGTTCCAGAGGCTCACCACCCTCACAGTATAGAGCTTCTTCCTCATATGTAGCCTTAATCAACCCTCTTCCACTTAAAAACTGTATCCCTCAACCTACTGCTACATGTCCTTATAAAGCCTCCCTGACTTTCATGTGGGCCCCTTTAGTTCTTGGAAGGCTACAACATCTCCTTGAAGCCTTCTCCAGGCTGAAGAGCCGCAGCTCTGTGTCTTTCTTGTGTTGGGGGCTGCAGATCTGGATGCAGTACTCCAGGTGGGGTCTCATGAGAGCAGAGCAGAGGGGCAGAATCATCTCCCTTGACCTGCTGCTCTGCTTCTCTTGATGCAACCCAGCATATGGTTGGCCCTCTGAGCTGCAACTGCACGTTGCCAGCTTATGTTGAGTCTTTCATTAGTTGACACCCCCAAATCCTTCTCCTCAGGGCTGCTCTCAAGTCATTCCATGCCCAACATGTATGTGTGCTTGAGACTGCTCCAACCCAGATGCAGGATGTTGCACTTGGCCCTGTTGAACTTCATGAGGTTGGCATAGGCTCACATCTCCAGCCTGCCCAGGTCCCTTTGGATGGCACTCTTTCCCTGTAGTGTGTCAACTGCACCTCTAAGATTGGTGTTGTCTGCAAACCTGCTG